TAGTAATATTTTAAGTAATCCATTATATCTAATGAGATTATGTAGCGTGTCATATTTTTTACACCAGCTCTGTACCTGGAAAATCCTAATTTTGAGAAATATCTTTAAAATATTTTAATAGAATTCTTCGTCCATTGACATTCACCATTATAATTCACTGGAACTATTTATTTTTAGGTGTTCAAAGTGATTCGTGAAGGAGAAGACAAACGCTACAAGCCATTCAAGAAGCTCCACAACCGACGACTGTTATGGCACGGCTCACGCATGACAAACTTTGCAGGAATCATTTCTCAAGGTAAGCCCTATTATAATAACACTATTTATATATAATTTAGTCCCCTATAATTCATGTTTTATTTCCCAACAAAGTAATATCGCTACAATAAGATTCATTGACATCACTGTACAAAATTTTCTTTGTTTTAATTTGGTTAACCTGGAAAGGGCCGATAGCCCTTTGTATAGGTGCAATATCTAATAATCCTGGCGAATTTTGTAAAGTCTAAAGTTCCAATTTTATGTAATATGTCTTCTTATGCAGGTCTCCGCATAGCGCCGCCCGAGGCCCCAGTGACTGGCTACATGTTCGGTAAAGGAGTGTACTTCGCGGATATGGTGTCGAAGTCTGCTAACTACTGCTGTACTAATGTTTTAAACCCAACTGGTCTCCTACTTCTGTGTGAAGTCGCACTAGGAAACATGTATGTTACCTCTCAAATTTTTTTTATGTTTACGTGTTTTTAACATTTGCTTTTTGAAGCTGCGTTTTTTTTTTGTTGCTATATAAGTTTTATCATGAAATAATAAATAATACTACTTTCGTGCAATGTTATCTAAAACGGATTATATTACTAACTAGTACCTTAATGATTACAGGAAAAAATGCTACAGAGCTGAAAACGTGAAACTTCCACCGAACATGCATTCCGCATGGGGAGTGGGCTCCACGCATCCGGACCCCAGCCAGGATCGACTGCTAGATGACGGCACCGTCGTACCGCTCGGCAAGCCAGTGCAAAGTAATGAAAGCTGTTCCTTGCTGTATAACGAGTATCCTTTATCAATTACTAACATTTCACCCGCGTCACCCGGCTGAAATATGCCACATGAGTATTGCTCACAGTCAAAATATCAGTCATAGTTATACTACTGTACTCAATGATTTACAGTTTTTTTACGTTTGACTAGGATCCTCCCTGCGATACTTCACTGTGTTAATTCTATGAAGTGCTAATAAACGTTTATTATTATTATTATTATTATTATACTGTTTAGCATTTTACATGAAGAATAAGACTAAAAAGGACTCTACATCTAACTTAAAACATCAGTATTATCGGTTAGTCCTATTTGTGAAGTTGATTGGTCAGCCAACCAACCGGGCGGTCGGTCGAACTGTATGTCTGCCTCTCACTCAGGTAATTTGGGCGTATCGTTTCGAATTCGGAGCAGTTCTGTTAAAGTAATATCTTCCTTAGCACACACCCAGATTCATCGTATACGATGTTGCACAAGTCAACGTGAAGTATTTACTCCAGGTTAACTTCAAATACAAATTCTAATTGTATTCAACCAGTTCTGGTTGTATAGTTTGTGTATGTTATCGTCTTTCGGTCATTCACGACAATGTTCCGTCAATTCGAAGTAAATTTAAATTTTCATTGTTATCGCAGCCTTAGTGCCTAAAATGGAACTTTGTGATTTCTGGTTACCTCGTTTTATGAATCCAGAGGCCCTCGCGCACGCATTCGGCACTCTGATTGGCCGGCGCCAATAAACCAACCAATGAGAGTGCCGAACGCGTACTCGTTACGATCACTAAAGTGTACTCGTAAACGTAAAACAAACTCGTACTAAAGCCTCAGCTTTAGCGACTTGAAGTCACCAAGATATTGTGATGTCCGATTAACAGTGAAACAATGTAAACTTGTTTCGTCCATATTTGATTTTTCTAAAGCGTCTAATCGTAAATGTGAATTAATGCTTTATATTTTTATATGATAATTAATTGTTTATGTTATAATAACTCGTGATTATTGAAGTGATTATGTTTCTGTTTGTTAATTAAGTCGTCCATGCTGTATTGATGGCAGTGTAAAATCTTTTCTATAAAATCGTGTGTACTCTGCAAACGTGATTGTAATTTATTTTAATAGTCCACTCCTGTTCACCCTTCGCCTTATAATTTATTTTCCACATACCTTGAAATTCTAAGAAAGTTAATGGTTTTGATTTACGTGATACTTTTGAACCTTGAAGTGAAAATGTATTTCGATAAACATTTTTGATCTAATTTTAAAGAATGGCACGCCCGTTATATTGTAATATTTACATACACTTCGAAAGGGGATCTTTTTTTGGACCATTACTGAAAGTGCGCGCCAACGAAAACAAATGGTAGGTACGTATCGATAGAACTAGCCATTTGGAACAATAATTTATATGGCATAAAAGATGAAGAAGTTATACCAGTTCGAAGATTCATAATTTTCATACATTTTTTGCTTTCTAAAGGTGCTAGGAAACGCAAAATAATGATCGATATTGGTAGAATGAAGACTGACTGACTCTGCGGCAATTGTGATGATAATTACTAATTATGTTAAGAGTCCCATGTAATAGGGGGTGAGCCTATTGCCCTGTACCGGGCACAATCCCAGGCTCCGTGCTACTACTGATATTTTTTTTTTAAACCCAGTAATATTTTGCCCGACCCGGGAATCGAACCCGAGACCCCTTGCCCAGCAGTCGCACTTGCGACCACTCTGCCAACAAGGCAGTCAAGTCGAGCCGTTATACATCTTATATGTAATATATACAATTTCGGACTCGTTGGAGTCGGATTCCGACAAAGATGCTTTCGGGACGCGATTGTTTCAGGAAGTACACCAGGTATTGACTGCATGCAACATACATTAGTTTAGAAACGGATCAGATCCCCACTTCTATCGAGGTGATTGGGATCTTTGTGTCTACTTCCATCCGTCACATCAACACTGGTAGCACAAGAGAACAACATCTCACTACAACACTATGTAAATAATGGTCAGAACAATAGACAGAACCAGTGGCAGGTGTAAAAGAATCCAAGAAGAAAACGCGTGGATGCTAAAATGGTAAGTGAAGAAAACTATATAATAAAATAGTATTTAGAAGGAAATATATTTTTCCAATTCACACATATAATCCAAACATGCAACAATAACCCGAAGCTTAAAATTTGTGTCCCTTCGTCCAGCATACTCACCATGGAATCCTGATATTTCATGAATGTCAAAAAACTGTTCTGAAATAGTGCTAAATAGTGCCCAAAGGAAAAAAAATAGTGCTCTTGTACTTGCGAAGTTATAGCCATAGTTCGATGAGTATGCTGGACGAAGGTTTCGCCCAGCATACTCACCTCCGTCCGGAGAATCTGTATACGCTTCAAACATAATTCATACTTCAAAAAATAGTTCCCAAATAGTGCCAAACGGTGCCCAAAAAGAAAAAACAGTGCTCGAATAACTTCGGAGTTATAGGCTTCGTTCAGTGAGTATGCTGGGCGTAGGTTCTACGCCCAGCATACTCACCTCAGTGCGCGAATATCGAACGAGCTATAGGTACAATTTACGTCTCAAAAAATTGTGCTTGAAATAGTGCCCAATATCAGTCCAATTTTTGCTTGACTTTTGACTTAGAAAACCATTAAATTTTAATGTAAACTTCTACATACTAACGTAAAATGGGGTACAGTCGTCGACACATGTTTTTGGACAAAAATATTAAACTTTCTAATTGTAGACTTCATGTTATTGGAAATAATTATGGTATTTTCTCACATGTCAAAAACTTTCGATTAAATGCATTATTATATATTTTATAAATAATAATAAATGAATGAAACTTTAAGCGTAAATGAAGTCTATTACTTCATTGCATTGTGTGTTTGTCTGAATAAAAACAGTCATTTGCAGCCAATAAATAAAAGCGTCGCGGGCGCCGCGCGTCGCTTTGTGACACAAAATGGACCCTTATCACCTTCAAAATACAGATCAGTCTTGTCTAATAATCGTAAGATGTTAGGGCAGCGCCATCTAGTATTTAAACATAAACATATTCATTTGCGTCGCGGGCGCCGCGCGTCGTAAGCCCCATACCTATTGACCGTACGTGCATCCATTACTGCCACACTATATTGAACTTTATCACATGAGGAATACAGGTCAATTCCGTAAACGTTGTGGTACCGTCCTTGATCCGGAAAATGATTATTTTGAATAATTTTGTCAGTTGTAATGTAAGCATTAATAACAGCAACTTTATTTTTCATGCATGATTTACTTCATTTGATATCTTAATCCTTCAAGCGCCGTGATCTAGACAAAATATATAAAATCATTGTTCCTAGCTACCGGGGTCCCATGCGACGCGCGAAGGCTTAATCATATTATTATAAAGTATTATTAAAATAATGTGTAATTAATAATATTGCGATTCTAAAGTAAATACTCCCTTACATAGACAATTAATAATTTACACAAGACAAAAATTGTTAGAAAGAAAGTTAATAATATTGTATTCGACTGTACTCAATGTAATGTATGTAGAAGTTTACAATCAAATTTAATGGTTTTCTAAGTCAAAAGTCAAGCAAAAATTGGACTGATATTGGGCACTATTTCAAGCACAATTTTTTGAGACGTAAATTGTACCTATAGCTCGTTCGATATTCGCGCACTGAGGTGAGTATGCTGGGCGTAGAACCTACGCCCAGCATACTCACTGAACGAAGCCTATAACTCCGAAGTTATTCGAGCACTGTTTTTTCTTTTTGGGCACCGTTTGGCACTATTTGGGAACTATTTTTTGAAGTATGAATTATGTTTGAAGCGTATACAGATTCTCCGGACGGAGGTGAGTATGCTGGGCGAAACCTTCGTCCAGCATACTCATCGAACTATGGCTATAACTTCGCAAGTACAAGAGCACTATTTTTTTTCCTTTGGGCACTATTTAGCACTATTTCAGAACAGTTTTTTGACATTCATGAAATATCAGGATTCTATGGTGAGTATGCTGGACGAAGGGACACTAAAATTTAACACATTAATATTACATGGCACTTTCACTAACAATTACTACACTTACCAAAAAATGCATTTTGAGATTCTTCATAATATCTGTCCAAGATGTAAGATACATTTTTATAATTATTTTAAAGGATTTTAAGTACTTGGTGTGCAATATGCAAATGTGATTGGTAGGTAATATCATATTACCATAATCAAGAGGCTTATTACATAAATTTGAGTAAGTTTACATAGTATCAGGTTTAATGTCCTCTTCTGGTACAGGCCCAAATAGTCTCACATCGGTTTTAGGTATAAATTTTCGAAGACAGGACTTTGCGAACTCGGCCGGTGTGGATTATGGGCGATCTTTTAGTTTTCCTTTTGTTTCATTCTTTATTGGTTTCTACCTTTACCTTCTTTACGGGCTTACCATCACGTTTAATTCGTCTTTTCCTTGAAAGTATAGTAGCAATTGTTTCTGAAAATAATTAATCAAGTTTTTTTTATTAACTGATACATAATCACATACTTAGATTATCCGTTGTTTGTTAGCAATATAAATTAATACAAAAATGGTGTTTGGGATACGTTTCCCAAATGCGAAACATTTATATACCTATTATATTATTGTTGTATAATATTTTATAGTTGTACAAAAAAGCAACAAGATCTTACCAATTATAGATTTGATTCTCTCCTGATCCTCCTCCTTGAGTGTAGATAAGTCACGAATATGTTCAGGAGTAATAACTACGCTGACTTTTTTAAAAAAACAATGTTCATGATGCCATTTGTAGTCATTTGCACTAAACAAGTCACACTGAAAATGAAATAATAGTTTAATACTGTTATACAGTAGTATATTAGTTCGTTGGATAGGTAAGTACATACCTAAATACCACTTAGGTACGAACAGCAGGACATCTTGGTATTGGAACAAGTGATATGTGAAGTTGTTTTTTTTTATGATAACTTTGTAATTATAATTAAATCTTGTTACATAGTAATTAGAACCTACAACTATAGCCTTAACTACCAAAAACAATATCACTTGACTGATAAGTATCTGCAAACTGTTCAAATACATGCCTACTTACATGATGATATTATTTATATTTGGGAATGAACTGGTTTGTGAGCAGTCACGGGATAGCACTATCTCAATAGAATTATTTAGGTATATTAGTCTACTGTCTCTGATCCATTGACATAAATACTTAATATAAATAATGTAGGTATACGTATATCGTACGTTTTAAGTAAACATCAACCTTATTTGCATAAATACATTAAGTATATAAAAATACAGAAGTGTTTAAAAAATCTAAATAATAGGAATAAGACATTTTTCGATAAAACTAAAAACCGCGTATTAAGTTTTGTTTATTAATACGTCGGAATATCAAACAGGATCTTAACATCTCGCTCTTACACTGATATCGGTTTATTAATACGGGCCTTACCGTAATACGCTCAATAACAGCGATTCGCACAGTATCTTTATCAATCTCTTCGCCGCATCCCTTGCACTTCATTCTTCCACTTTTAGCATATTCCGCCTTAAACTTGTGCACGTTCAAGTCAACATAATATGGATCCCTTGGAGAACGGAACATTGTAATAAAGTAATCAAGTAGCACCTATATTCCTAAATTGGTATTATTTTTTTTTTTTAGAAATAATGTAGATAACTATAGTTAAATATTATCAACGTTTATAATAAAAAAAGATCTACTTTCGCGATATTTCCCGCAGTTTGTGAACGAACTGTAGGTACTACCCGACCCGACTATCGGCGCGGTAGGTCTTAAACGAATGAGGCCGTGAGGCGACCCGAAGGCGCGGCAACGCGACGCCAACAACAACTCCCGATCTCCCAAATCGAGCCTCTGTTTTATCAAGGCCAAGATCTACATACTCTACGTCAGGGTTTTCCAACCTTTATTTCACTGAGCCTCCCCAATTAAAAAATAATATTCTCATGCCCCCTTAAGTTTAAAAACATTAAAAACACACAATTTTTTTTATAACTATATTATTTATTTGAATTAACTCGTCGAGTACCGGTTTTGTAGACACAAATAGAACAATAGGTTGCGGTCACCGGTGACCGCTTGGTGTTTGACAGTTTAAAATTAAAAACAAAGAGTTCCATACAGATATTTGTAGATATTTATGTTTTAAGGATCTATTAAGAGAAGATATATAATATATCTACACTTGAAAACCATTAATTACTTTCACATTTAAGTAAATATGCTAGTTTTATTTTAATTATTAAATACTAATGAGAATTGAGCTTGCATCTTCTGTACCAGTATGTCGATTCTAGATTCAGTCTTTGCTAGAGCAATGGTTAAATCGCTATCGACGGCATTTCGCTTTGATTTCGCTGTTTAGTTTTTATTAAAACCAAAGCTGAAAAACCTGTCTCACATAAATATGTGGTCGAAAATGGAATAATTATTCTTAAAGCAAGTGGAGCAATTTTGGAATTAATAAGAAATCGTTTGACCCAAAATTTCTCTAATGTTAAGAGATGGAAGTCATCTTTCATGGTCGAGTCAGCCTTCATTTCTAGAAATTCTTCCTGAATATCTTCAGGCAAATCTGAGACCTCGACAACAAATGGGTTTTTGGTCATGCGCCATATTGGTGACTCGGAATTAACATCTCGATAGTACCGGTGAAATTCGTTTTCCAATGCTTGTAGATAAGGTTCTATTTCAAATTTCAAATCATTATCCAGTTTTTGATCATTAATCGCTTCGGATAGCCGTGAAACTTTTTGTCTTTGATTTGATTCTTTTCATACAAGCCAACGTGTTGTGTCGGCGGCCCGGCGGGCTTAGTGTGTATTGCGCTTAAGTACTATTTCCACTACGCCCCCCAAAGGCATGCCCCCCTGGTTGGGAACTCCTGCTCTACGTACATACATGGAAAAATATGAATATGGTTCAGAATAGTAAAAATAATAATACGTACCTAGACAGTTAAGCGAGTAGATATAACGTTATTATTTTAACAGTTCGATAACAAGTTCCGCTCACTAGTAATTAATTAAAAGTCTCGCGATATATTATTAAATATATGTATGTACTAGTTACAAGGCATTCTAACGCGCCAGTAAATAATCAAATATATAGGTACTTAGCTTGTTTAATAAGTAGGTAGACTCAAACTTACTCAGGAATTATGTTAAGTTAGCGTTAAGACTTCGTTCTGGCCACTATCCATCGGCAAAGTTTGCCTTCTTAATGAGGAAAGTTTCTTCGCCTAACTGTGAGATATGTCATAAAATTGAAGATGTGCAGCATTTACTGATGGAATGTGAAAGGAACAAGAATGAGAGGGAATCCTTGGCTAGAGAATTTAAACTGAACCTGTGGGATGTTGGACTTATGCATAATATTTTAGCTCACCCTAAATTAAACATGTCTAAATGCATTATTTCTATCCTAATAAAGAGTTCTAGGCAATAATTCCGCTTCGTATAGGCAAAAGCATAGTTAAGTACGAATAGTGTTAATAATAGGTGTTTAATAATTTTATGAAAATAGTGTATAAGTTACAATGGGGTTGACATATCCATATGGATAAAAACCCCTTACCAAATAAAAGAGAATAAAAAAAAAAAGTAGGTAGACTCGGTAATGGTAGCTAGTGGGTACATGGTTTAATATTGTAGATACAATAAGATGAATGAAGTGTACATTTTAGAGGATTTAACTCGTCGAGTACCGGTTTTGTAGACACAATTATAGAACAATAGGTTGCGGTCACCGGTGACCGCTTGGTATTTGACAGTTTAAATCATGATAATTGCGAACTCTTAACGAAGGAGACATAGCATCACGCCTTTTATCCCCGAAGGAGTAGGCAGAGGTGCACGGCACTTGATGCCAATACAATGTAACACCCACTTTTCACTATTTGTGTTATGAGTCCCATGTAGGGTGTGAGTGTATTGCCATATACCGGGCACAATTCCAGACTCCGCCGAGCTTCTACTGAGTTTTTTTTAAGCCCAGGATAATTTGCCCGACCTGGGAATCGAACCCGAGACCCTTTGCCCGGCAGTCGCACTTGCGACCACTCGGCCAACGAGGCAATCTAAGGAGACTTAAGTTTTTATTTTGTTTATTTTCATAAAACCTAGTGTCCCAATTTTTTACTGTAATGGATGTAGTGGTGTCAGTTACCCAGGCCAGGTGTCGAAAATGTTCATTTGAATCTTATAGATAATTAGTTTTGCGGCTTCTGTAATTGTTGCGCACATTTTTAAATTTTATGCGCTTATAGTTTTCAATTATTTCACAAAAACATTTCCTGCTGGGATATCGTTACCCCAGTCAAATCTTTTCTTTCTAATAAAAATGTTTAAATAATTACTAGCAATTGAGTTCTTCACGAGCACGGTTTTGATGCCCGCGGCTTTATTTGGCCACATGACCGTTGTAACCCGACCAATTTTAGGTGATTACTAAAAAGCGAAAACACAGAACATTATGGTACCTTTTCCAAAATATGTAGGATACTAGGATAGTGTTATAAATTTAGTACAAACATGTTCACAAGTTTTAAAAATGTTGTCATTTACTTCACCTACTCAACTAATTTTATAGCTGGTAATTATTGAAATATTCCCATTAGAAAGAAAAAGGTCTGGCTGGGGTAACGCTACTCCAGCAGGCAACGTTCTTGTGAAATAATTAAAAAACTAAAAGTGCAACAAATTTAAAAATGTAGGTACTCGACACTGGGGTAGATGTCTAATTTTTTATTTATTGTCCGCCTGGTAGATTATTTTTAATCATTACACAAGTTTTTTTTATTTTCTTACAGAAACGAATACCTAATTGTTAGATTTATATTTGCATGCCAACAAGGCCGAATGTATAAGGTTCTGTCACAACATATTGGACCATCTTATTCTTATGTACCTACATTCTAGCAAATAAAGATATACTATTATTATTAATATTAATATTTTTTCATTACCTAACTTACGGACTAATTAGATTTTTAATTTTCATACCAACTGAAACATGTCATCATCACAATTACAGAAGCCGCAAAACTAATTATCTATAACATTCAAATGAACTTTTCGACACCTGGCCTGGGTAACTGACACCACTACATCCATTACAGTAAAAAATTGGGACACTACGTTTTATGAAAATAAATAAAATAAAAACTTAAGTCTCCTTAGATTGCCTCGTTGGCCGAGTGGTCGCAAGTGGGACTGCTGGCAAGGGGCATTAATACTATAATTATTATATTAAAATTAATAAATAATATTTAATAATTATTTATTTCAAAATTTTTTATTAATGATAATTTAATTAAAATTTTAAAATTATTTATTTCAAAATTTTTACTTATTATAATTAAATTAGTTACTGTAACTTATATTTTTTTAAGAAATTGTTGGAAATTGAATGTTAATTTCCGTAGGTACTAATTTTAGATAGGGTTTACAGGGTAAAGAAACACAATTTACAATTGTTTTGTATATTTTGTTTTAATTTTTCCATCCATGGTTTAATTTTCCGCCAAACAGCAATACCGTCCAAGTAGTCGTACTTTCCATTGAGTAGGTACCTTCTTATTCATTTGCAAAGTTAAAGATACCATGACTACTGTGCCATGATAAAATAAAAACAAAAAATATTAATCATATGGTTAATGATTACAATACAAACATTAAGTAAATTCTAAAAACACATTTTTAACAAAAAATCTTAAGAGTTAAACTCCCGACCATTACACAAAAATGATAACATTGAGAAATACCTTCTCTTGGAGAAGTATCTTTCGCTTATCTTGGAAGGGGCATCTCACTGCACCACTATAAGATAACATATCCAATAAATCATATAAAATCCAAATCAATTCGGTGACACTTTATTTAATATTTTCTTTTTAAATAAAATGGAAGACAATAAAAATATGGCACTTGAGATCCTCAAGAGATTTCTGTTACATTGTGGGTATAGAGAATAATTTTGAGATTCTACATAGTGTCGTCACAGGTTCTAAGATACATTATTTTAAAAGTTACAACTATATTAAATATAAAGTTTTTCGGTGTTCGTAGGTAGTCGCATAACTGTTAGTTTAGGTCACCGCGTCGTACATCTCGGAATACTGCTCATGTATGCTGCCTTTAGTATGGCTTGAAACTAATCTAGTTCCTCGTCAAACAGTTAATTGAGTAAGCCGAAAAACTTTATTAATTTAATACGTCTCACGTCTCAAAAAGCTGAAACTATGTTAACATAATCAATACAGCTGTTTTCTTTACTTTAAAATAGCTACGGTAAAACCGGGTGTGAATAGAGAAGGAAGACAGATGAATGGATAGTAGGAAAATTTTCATAGTATCTAATTATTTATACGCCCCTCGAATTCTATTCACCCAACTTCACCCGGTATTGAGAATTGCAGGAAGATATGTATCGAATTGCAGGTTATAACTATGGCCTAATGATCAGTTTCATTGATCTGCCCAGTGTCCTGTAGGTGGATTTGATTACTAGAGATAGTATATTGAGCTTATGAATCTAAATCTACTTTGTTACTTTTAGCATTGAAAATAAGTGCACTTGTATAAATGCTGAGGTTATATCGGTTCACGTCCAACAAATAGATCTTAGGTAATTCTATTGTTAGTGTAAATGTATGTAAATCACAGCTTTTTCGGTGTACAGTATTTAAATGACATGCAAACTTATTTCAATATTTAATGATATTGCTTAGCTTAGCAAAGCTAATGCTTTAATCATTTTTTCTTACTACTAACATTAAATGTTTTTAAAATTACCTCTAGGTAAAATGTTATACAAAAAGCAAGTATCCTTTG